AAAAAATACCAAGAACCTATTTAAAACCAAATAAATGTGTGTAACATGTTGCCCCCGTCCCAAAAAATATTAAAACACATAATAATAAACTACAAATCCAGTATCTACGAAGTAAAAGGCCAGGGACATGAAAACGTACGTTTTTAATTTTCACTCTACTACCACTGAGTTCAGGAAAACTATATTTCTATCATAGCTGTGTGAAACGTGTATTTAATTCTAACTTTAAACTAATAAAATAATCTAAAACAAATTTTAATCATATATCAATTATAATAGTGCTAATCTAATGGTAATTAAATAATCTATATTCAAATACCAGTATCCTCTCCAACTACCAGAAAAACAATTCAACTACTTGAGGCCTAAACAGATTAACAGAATCATATACTGGTATATATACAGTAGTATCAAAAATATTTTAAGTATTGCGACCATTGCAACTGTCAGCTAACTTTTCACCACTTGAGACCACTCTTAATCATCAAGCGCAGATAGCTCAGGAGGTAAGGTAAGAGGCTCGTAAAGTGAAGGTACCAGGTTCGAGACCCGTCTGGGTCAAAAACTTTTTTCTCGTTTTTTTCTTCAAAACTGGTGTTTATTAATTATTTAAACAATTTACTCAACTGATAATTAAGCTTTTCATACTAAATCTATATTATTTTGTGTTTTTTATGTTCAGGCCCGGACCACACTTTATCCCAGGGACATCCCATAGTAGTCCCATATGTCCTGAGAATGTCCTGAGGACTACCCTGGGATGACCTCGGATGTCCCACGGATATGCTTTGAGCTTATCCGTAGGACATCCCCGGGCGGGGACATTACGCATTCCTGCGGATATCCCAGGTTGACCATAGGACTACTATGGGATATCTTGCATATCCTGTCGCAATATCCGTGGGATGTCCTGAGGAGAAAGTGTGCTGTCTGGGTGGTGGCCGATTCACACACACTGGCTTTGAGTACAGTAGCTATACATACCACCTTCCACTGCATACTATCACTTACCTACCTTATTTTACCACCTAGGCCACTGAAACCTCTAAAATGATCCTGGCCTCCCGTTTTCTTCTATGCCCTGCCATTTCTAAGGAAGATACCAGTCTGAAGATGTCTTTCAGGGCGCATCCGACTTGCGCATAATCCCGGGTCACCAGTGGGGGGTCGACAAATTTCAACGTACCCCAACGTCCGACTTGCGCATCGTCCAGTCAGGCAGACTAATTGGGTAACGGCCGTAACAATGTTACAACTACTATGAGCTGATTAACGAAGGTAACTCTATTTATTGATTTAGTAAAAAAAAGGCTACTTTATTGACAATTAACTGTTAATTGAGGTAGGTGAATCACTCTTATTGTGTATGGATCAACAAAATTATTGTAAAGTGGTAGTTCTTAAGAACAAGTTTTGACAAAAATTGTCTTTTGCAGTTGATATTTGTTCCTTTGTTAATTATGAGTAAGAAAACATCTTCATTGAATCTTTTGTATTTATGGTCTGTAGAATGAGTATGGGTTCTGCAAATGTATACATTGTTAACATACTGTTGAGGGGATCCATGCACAAATTGCGCAGTGTTTAAAAGGAACCAAAACTTGTTTCTGAGATAAAGTCTGATGCAATACCATTTTACCTTTTCAGGTTTGTTGGTTTAGAACAGTTGTTAAGTGACTGGTGCTACCAACGCCAGTATCGGACGGACCCTTCCACCATGGTATCGGACGCTGCCGTATATGGTGAAAGCGTCCGTCGTCTGCCAATCATCCCACACCGTCTCGCCGCAGTTATAAATCCTACTATTTTTGGAGCTTTAGGAACATGTTCCTAGGGTATGTACAAGGCCCCACTAGAAAATGAACTGAATAATTGTAACAGTAACAACAAAAAGCAGTCCAAGTCTGCTCTGCCTTTGCCCTTTAATTGTATTTTTCAACTATAGTCTGTTTAATGTTTTAAGTTGTTGTTTATCATTTTTGCCCTGTCGTCACTCCCGCTATAATTCCCCCTCTTCATAATTAATTAAGTGTCTCATCATCAGCAGTTTGAGATACAAGAATCCACCCTTTTAGATGGTAGCGTTTGATTGTACACTTAGCCAGAGCTTGATTAAATAAACATTTCAAAATACTAGCCTGCAATGACAAAATGGTATATCAGATGCATGAGTAGGTCCCTACCTATATCCCCCAACCAAATGCTAGATGCGTATAACTAAAGCCTTTACTTTTACTTACTTTTATAACGCTATTGCTCATAATGTAATGAAAAAGTTAAAACCTTTAGGCTTATGGAAATCAATATAATATAATGACTTTTCGACTTTTGAATACCTAAGTTAGATAGACTATTCCCAAGTTGTTGATTTGAGTTTGCAATTAGTCCTATCGTTCGCCACAAGTATTTAAAATACCATGAATTCAGTCAAACGATTTGCAATAACAATTATTAAAGTTCCTCACTAAAAGGAGCAAAAAAGTTCCTGTAAACGCATGTCCGATTTTCAACCGTTTGGCTGTAATAAGGGGTTTTGTGTTTTTCTTATTTTATTAGACTTTGCCCCACAATTTATGTAATAAAAACTTAACCAATTACTTAAAACATTTGTAGTTAAAATCATTGGAAAGAATATTAACTTTGCTATAAATCAAAGGTTTCATGCAACAATTATACCATTACATAGTCCGGTTCATATCCAAAATAGAGTAAAAATTACATTAAGTTAATTAATTACGTTAATTTTTATGACACCTCACTTTGATACATAAACCTACATCTATGCAATATCCAAATGCATAAAAAAACTTGGCAATTTAATAATCTTTCAAATGATATGCTATTCAATAATATTATTGATATAAACCAATGAGAAACTACTAATAAATTGCAATAAAACACTATCCACAGATTTAATACCGCTAAAATAACAGTATTTAAAATCAAAATGTTTACTATGGTGTTGTTATTAAAAGTATGTAGAAAAGGCAGATTAAAAAAATGTAATTACCTTAATAATTTATTAAAATTAGCATGTTTTATGTATACATTGTTTAATTAATAGTCTATGTATATTTTAAGATAAGGCTGGAAAACAAATTTACTTTAATAGATTTTCAAAATTGCCACCATTACCTTGAATGCACGCATGAACTGTCTTCCTTAGCTCTCTCACACAAGCTTTCAAGTTTACTTCTTCCCGAAGATAATTTGCTGCTCTTACAATCCGCTGTCTTAACTCTTCGGCATTGTGTACAGGGGAACGGTAGATTTCTGCTTTAAGAAATTCCCAGACATAGAAATCTATAGGTGTAAGGTCTTGGGACCGCGGTCACTCATCCCCTTTCAATCCACGTGTCAAAGTTGTTTGTTGTGTACTCTCGTACATTACAGGAGAAGTGTGGCGGAGCACCATCAGCTTGAAAAATCATTTGCTCGCACAAATTAAGTGGCAAGTCTTCAAGAAGCTCTGGAAGGTCATCACTGAGGAATTGCAGGTACTGAACGCCATTTAAATACCGAGGAAGATCAATGTAGTATGGACCTACAAGATGGTTACACATCAAACCAATCCACACATTTATTTTAAACCGGGACTGACTGTGTGATTCTCGGGCAAGACGTGGGTTTACAATTTCATAAAAATGTTCACTATGTTAGTTAAACACACTATCTTTCGTGAAAGAGGTCTCATCGGTCTATAAAAATTCTTTTCAAAAAATCACCATGGTCATTCTGCTGGATCCATCGACAAAACTGCATTCTCTGAGGAGGGTCCCTTGGTTCTAGAGTTTGGACTCTTGTGAAATGGTATGGATGCAGTCCTTCTTTGCACAAAATATTTGAAACAAAACTTTTACTAACACCAAATTCACTAGCAGAATTGATTGTGCTAGTCCTCGGATATCTTTCTACACAGTCCAGTACAGCTTATTCTATTCCGAAATCTTGCACAACGTTGCCAACTGTGCACCCTTTGCAAGGAAAGCTTCCCTTTTCGGGAAGGGTATATCAGCATACTCTTGATTAGTAAAAGGTTCCATAGTTTAACCAATGTAAAAAACTTTTAATTGACTTGGAAACACAAAATGAAAACAATAAATTATTCAACAATGTATGTTCAAACAGCTGAGTTATTACGGCTGAGTTAATGACCATGTTATAGATGACAAATCAATAACAGCTGACTTAAAGCAAGTACAAAGAAAAACTAATTATACAGCATTTAAGAATCAAACAAACTAAATCCTTGAAAATGCAAAATAAACTGAGGTTAGACATTTATGAATTTAGTTAACTTTAATATATATTTTAAAGTTAAAATAATGTACAAATCGTATCAGATTGTTCAATAAAATACAACATAGACTAGTGTAGGCCTATACAGTAATTATTATTAACAGTAGAAACAAAATCTGGAGACGCTGTTTTATTGTAGTTTATTATTGATTTCTCACTGGTTTATATTAATTATAGTATTGAATAGCATATCATTTGAAAGATTATTAAATGGCCAAGTTTTTTATGCATTTGAACATTGCATAGATGTAGGTTGATATCAAAGTGGGGTCATAAAATTAACATAGTTAATTAATTTAATGTAATTTTTTCCTTATTTTGGATATGAACCGGACTATGTAATGGTATAATTGTTGCATGAAACCTTTGATTTATAGCAAATTTAATATTCTTTCCAATGATTTTAACTATAAAATAACTCTTTAAAGTAATTGGTTAAGTTATCAGAAAAACACAAAACCCCCCTATTACAGCCAAACAGTTGAAAATTGGATATGGGTTTACAGCAACTTTTTTGTTCCTTTTAGTGAGTAGAACTTAAAAACTGGCGAAATTAACACGCTCAGTAGAAACTCACCCAGTATACAACATGTTTTGGGGGTCTTGACCCCCCTGGGACCGCCCTTGTAAAATCACACCTTAATTGTCAAAATCGGTTAAATAGGATAGCTGAAAAAGGTATGTAACAGAGAAAACCCCTATTGTATTAAGTATATAGATATATTATCAAAATGTAAAAATATTTTCTGAATCAATACCTAATTTAGATATTTGATCTAACATATACGATGTAAAACCTTCACTGCCGCATATCAAAACCTGTAAATGAGTTAAATTTTTTCCCTGAAAAAAATCACTAACTGAACTTCCATCGATTCTTTTACTTTTAAAACTTTCTCCAAATTTCATGTGAAATTTCCTATCATTGCATTGAGAGAAAAAGTATTCATGTGAAAAGTTCCAGAACTGAGACATTTTCCTTAAACTATCCCTCATTATAATATGGTCTTCACTTTTAACACCATACATTAAATGTAAAATTGTTTCATCTTTTTCGTCATTTAGTATACATTTAGCAATTGGAATCATTGGAGCAAGTCCTGTACCAATGCAAACCATCAGAATATATTTGAAGAAATTTGATTTATAATTAAAATTCCCATAAGGTCCTCTCCAGAGTGATATGTCACCAACTTGCAAGTTTCTGAAATATTCTGAACCTAACCCATTGTTGCATATTTTTACAAATATTTTAAAACAACAGTTAGGTTCTTCATTTGTCAAACTCACTGGTGTATATGCTCGAGTGATTATTTTTTTATCACTTATACTTGACGTTTCAGAACTGTTAAATTCAGTGTCCCACATCGGGTTAATTTCTTGGCTCTCTTGTTTAAAATTAATTCGGGTAATTAAATGTTGTCCTATTCCATAGGGAAGGAACCCACAAGTCTCACGTATGCTCCCAGAGTCATCCTCTGGCCTGAACTTGTATAGATAAACATCCTCAGTCAATCGTTCTTTGTGTATCAGTTGAAAAGATTTGAAACGAGTTTCTGACAGCAGATCTCTTCTACAGTTTGCATTTTCCCACAGTAGGTTCTCCCTCCAAGACTTAAGTTGCTGCTCATAAATATCAAACACACATGGTGAACATCCACTTCCGCAACAGTCAGAGGGATCAGGCTTTTCTGGCTCCATTGACAAATTCGTTGCTTGTAACCTGAAACAAGGGCAGTGATAGTTTTTGAATAATGGATGTTTAGTATGACCATCAAGCAACCAATTACAGTTTATGCGTAGTTAACAAAAAGGAAAATATATATCGTAAGAATAAGATCGGAGAACTTAAAGAATGTAGACAGTAAATTTATAAGTATGATCATTTATGAAACTTGTTTAGGCCTATAGTGTTTTAAGAATAAAATATTTTGTTTGTGTAACAATAAGGTTCAATTGTTGGATGAAACTTCCCAACTCTTCCCTTCCCAGCTCTTTGACGATTTACACTAGGTATAAGGCTATAGGCTATCAACTTTTGTTTTTATGGAAAACTAGCAGTTACCCAGCGCACGTTGTTGCGCTTAAGAACAATTATTTTACAGTAAATGGTAATTTGTTCTGTGTACGGTAAATAATAAAAAATTAAAAAAATAGAATATTTATTTTACTTAATTGTCAGTGGATAAACAATGTTTATAGTTTTTCATTAGGTGTAAGTTATAAATATACAGGGTGTTTTTTTTTTTAACTTGCATCTTTATTCATGTGAAACCGCAATAGATAGAAATATTCAGTTTGCGGGAATCATATATTGACATAGGGGGCACAATTTTTTTGAATTCAATGTTACATTCACATTCCCCCCCTTTCCCCCTGCCACCAACTTATTTTTTTTTTTTAAATAGCAAGGTACCCCTTGTGACATATCAAATGAAAGAGCATGAAAAAAGAAAATGTTCGATGAAAAAAAATTGAAAATCGGTTCATAAACTTGTGAGATATTCCCCCCCTCCCCACCCGGAACTTAAATTTTTTTAATAGCAAGTACCCCTTGTGACATATCAAACCAAAGAGCATGAAAAAAGAAAATGTTTAGTGAAAAAAAATTGAAAATCGGCTCATGAATTTGTGAGATAATCCCCCCCCCTTTTCCCCTACCCAACTTTTTTTTAAATAGCAAGGTACCCCTTGTGACATATCAAATGAAAAATAAATTTCACCAAAAATTTTCTTTTTCCATGCTCTTTCATTTAATATGTCACAAGGGGTACCTTGCGATTAAAAAAAATTAAGTTCCGGGGAGGGGGGAGGGATTTATCTCGCAAATTTATGAACCGATTTTCAATTTTTTTTCATCAAACATTTTCTTTTTTTATGCTCTTTTATTTGATATGTCACAAGGGGTACCTTGCTATTAAAAAAAATTAAGTTGGGGGAAGGGGGGGAATGTGAATGTAACGTTGAATTTAAAAAAAATTGGGCCCCTACGTCAATAGATGATTCCCGCAAACTGCATATTTCTATCTATTGCGGTTTTTACATAAATAAAGATGCAAGTTTTTAAAAAAACACCCTGTATAACTTTTTAGGCATAAGTTATCCTTTTATATTAACATATAAATAAATAAATAAATACTTTATTGTCTTGACAATATAAATTGTATCGACAGTACAATTAGGTATGCTATTAAATAACTCTTTAAATTTTGATGCATTTTTCATTGATGTCTTCAATAGAGTAGATTGGATTTTCAGTAAGGATTTGTTTTAATTTTCTTTTGTATTCTTTTAACACGTTCGCTACTCCAATAGTACGAAATTTTCCATTCACATGGACCAGCGACGCACATATGCGACGGCCGGTTTCCATCCATAGACTGCTGTCGCATATATGCGACGGCTAGTCACATTAAAATAGACTGCCGACGCATATTTGCGTCGGGGTTCTAATGTTATTAAAATGCTTATATCTTTGTAGTGGTCTATTTGAAGGCACTGAATTCCCTGCAGTGGTCTACAGAGATGTCTGACGCACAACTGCGTCGCTTGGTCTGTGGATATGATGATTGGTGATGTCATATAATAGTTGGAAAAACTGGTCTTTACTTTTCTGCATCACTGTATGTATGTATGCAGTATGTATGCTGCATTATCCTATGTAGCTTTTATATTTGTTCAGTTATAAACTGTTCTTGAATAATCTGTTTATTTTTTTACTTACTTTCACCTTAAAACACAAAAAAATGAACTGTCGCATATATTATGCGACGTTTAGTCTATTTCAAGAAAACTATGATAACTTTCACTATTGTCTTCGCTGTAGACCGGGCGTCGCAAATATGCGACATTACTTAAGGTTATAAAAAATAGAAAAAAACAAGAACAATTTATTTACAAACACGATTGTAGCGTATTACAATGTAAATGATCACTGTTTTACAGGTTTTCGCCCGTGGTCTGTGTGTACTGTTATCCAAGTGACAGACGGTCTATGTGTAAAATTCAAATGTATACCTCGGTCTGTGGCAATGACCGCGGCGTCGCATATATGCGACGCTCAGTAGCGAACGTGTTAATTTTAAATTTTGAATATCAGTTGGTAGTTTGTTATTAATAGTGAAGAATTTAAACGTTCGTTGAGTGCACAGGTGTGCTGCGATTAGGGGCTTAATATATTTAGACTTATCCAAAAGTAAATAGTGTTCTGTGCTGCATTCTGTGGAAACAGTGTGGCAGTATTTCAAATCTTGACTAATACAGAATGTAGTGATTATTCAAACCTACAAAACAGTCGGTGAAAGTAAACATCTACTTTTAATTATATTTATTTGTAAACATTGTAATTCCAAACATCTGACATTGGACCCCTTAAAGCCCTCTGGAGCGGAGCCCTTTTGACGGATCAGTACCAAACTTCACAGAAACCATCCTTGAATAATGCTTAGTAATGCTTTCTTTCATTCCGAAAGAATTTTTCTGAGCAAATCGTTCCATTCCAATAGTACCACTATTACTAAAAAATGATAAACTATTAACACACTTTTTAACGTAAAAAGTTCAATATATTTTGGCTTTAGTTTATTAATACTTATGAAGTCAAAAGGGATGAAGCCCGTGGGTAAAAGCTAGTTCCCTATATAGGAAATTCGCTAAAAATGCTACTTACTCACTATTGGATTAAGCGTGCAAAAAACTGTACAGCACTTAACTTAGGTAATGGTTACGTATATCTACACTGGGAAAATGTAATTTTATGTCTACTTGCAGTTTTTTTCATACAGAATCCAAAAGTGCAATAAGTCTTTGTCAGAGAGATTTATTCATAAGTGGCCGTACAATTAAATAATTAATATCAACTTCAGTTCTATTGAGTTACTCAGATATTTGTGGTTTGGGCGAGTCCAAGTTATACTTAATATTTAACTTAATAGTTTTCAATGAAATGGCGACCATATGTAGTAGGTATTTTAAGCCAAGTATGAATGGAGATGAGTGTAGGATGAGTGGCGCGATCTTGTAGTCTTGTTAGTGACTAAGGCCGACTTATTCCTTAGACACAGCTGTTAATTAATAGCCCATACAGCCAATGGCAACTAAGGGACCTACAGTTTATAGTGGAATCCGAATCACATTGTTGCCTCGGTAGGTAACTAATTGGTCTAATTTTCAGGATAGTTCAAGCGGGGACTAACACTTAAAGGGGAGGAATTTTTGAGGAGTGGAAACAGCTGTTAATTGTTAACATTCGAAGCTAAAGAAACAAAACAACACACGACGACGTGAAAGCAAAATCTTAATTACAATATACAAAAATTCAATTTGTAAAAGCAAACCGACTTTGATGCCGTTTAAAAAATACATTAACTTAACTACGATACATAGGCTAGGTAAACTATTAACCTCATTAACATTAATTAAATAAAAAAATTGAATTTACTGTATTCTCGTAAAATACAAGTAATAGAGGCTATACCACTACCACTTCAATAACGACATGATCGCCCTCACGTCCTCATTTCAACCCACAACGTCTGTTAACGGCTGCAGTTTCATTTAAGTGTCCCGCAGAACATTTGAATGAAAAATATCATCAAAATAAAATATCGAATGCAAGCATTTTTTATATTGTTACATACCCTATTTCATTGTGTTTCACCCACTATTTCAATTGTGCAAAAACCATCTGGAGGTAGCATAAATTAATGAGTCTGGTCATTATAACCTAAACTTTACCTTCCTATCTATCTTACCTAATTTCAAAACAAGTAATGAAGACACGAATCCGCATAAAAACCTACCTACCTTCCCCACATGCCTAAATAAGAGCTGATTATTTAGTTAAAAAACAAATTGCTTTAATTCCGCATTAAGTTGAGTATAAACAGCTGTTTGCTCTCCTCACTCAGTCCTCAGCCCACATACGGACCCATCAAGACCACGCCATAATACTGCCACTTTTAAGGTAAATTACCCTTTTTTAGGGTAATTTACTGGTCTTAGGGTAGATTTTAGGCTTATGGTGAATGGTAACTTAATTTTAGGGTAAAATCACAAATTGTCAAAACAATTAAAATTCAACTTAAAACATGAAAAAACTTCAAAAATGAGTTAAAAAATTAAAGATAACTGTCATACCTACAATTTTTAATTGATTTCTATGATATATTTCCGTATTAAGTTAATCGAACTTAGCTATAGCTATAGTTGCGAATGATGGGTTATTGATTGACCAAGGAAGAGTAGTTGCAGTACCGGTATAGATCGATGCAAATGAAAAAATCATGATAGTTTTGATTTGATATGTTTTGTATTATGATGTTTGAATTTGAATATCGATTGAGGTTTTGTTCTATTTTCACAAGTTATAGTTTTAGGCTACAGCCATAAGATTACTGTAGGCCTACTTGAAAAATAATTTTTCAAACAGAGTCTCTAAACAACACGACTTTTTTGCAGCATGCAGACCTGATATTGAACGAATATAGATTTTGCTCTCAAATTTTTTGTTGCCAATGTTGTGTAAAGCGAACACTTACATGCGCGCAACTTGGACATTTTAAAGGTCGTTGACTTTAACATGTTCACACATTTTTTAATGAATAACGGAATACTGAGATTATAAACTTCGATATGATTAAGTTAAAGACTTCGATGTATTTCGCATGAAAATATCGATGTTTTAGAACCGATGGTTTTGTAACATCGATGGTGATAGCTCGA